AATAATATGTATAAACCCAGATTTTGAAGATAGAAAAAAAAATTTCAAGAAAATCTTCATTTGGCCATCACACAAAATAAGCATATACCATTTACCTCATCCATTTTAGAAACACCCTGTATATTTAGAGCGTAGCTGGTAGGCCAGAAAACGTTTCCACATGATATATATATTATATGTTTTATAATATTTTTCTAAAATTTCCACTTGCACTGTACACAGAATAATATGTAAGTATATATAGTTATTGATTGTACATATTATATGTATATATATAAACAAAATAATGTGTGTAAAAACGTAAAAGAAATGTAAATACCTATGTATATAATCATTTTAGTCTTTAGATATTTTATTACTATACTGAACACTGTAAACAATTTTATGTTATACATCATTATATTATATACAAAATCATCCTAATTCCCTATAGTATATTATATAGTATATCATACGCGATTCGGAATCTCCAAATTGACGTAACACAAACGGATACCATAAACCAATGAATGTTTGAATTCAAAAATGACTTATATATATTATATCTATACTATTATATAAAATTGTAAGGGTTTTCTTCGACAGCGCTAACCGAGAAAACTACTGAACCGATTTGGCTGATTATATAGAATACAGATACGTATCAAAATATTTAATCGATTAGACGTCAATAGACAATAAAGCATTTTATTTAAGACAATGATATACCTATCTAACTGCTATCATATATATTAATGGGAGTATAGGCCAAAGCCCAAAAAATACTAGTTTCACAAAATCAATAATGGTATTGATAACCATGACAACTAAAGTCGAGACGGACACAAGAATATCAGGTATATATGTACCTTATTGTACATATAGTATATTAGAAACCTAGAATGTTGAATACTTGAATAGGTAAAATAGATTTGTGTTTAAACGCATTCAAACGTATCAATAAACATTTTTGCAAGATACTTAGAGCGTTATATTTCTGTACTTGAAAAATGGTACGAATCAGTGGCGCCGAAGTCCATGCTGACGTCGGGCCGTGGCCCGACCTCTTTTTAGAAAAATGTGGCCGGCCGGGCCATATTTAATTTACATTATAACTTTATTATAAGCATGAGTAAATTTAAACCGTGATTATGAATAAATTTATATTAGGGTACCTCTATATTAAATAATTGAGATATTGAGGCCGGGAAGTTTTAAAATTGCCCGACCACATTTTAAAAACTTCGGCGCCACTGGTACGAATAAAAACATAACAATTAGCAATACTATACACATTAGGTATATACAAAACGTAATAAATATTATGACAAACTCATTAAAGTAGCATATGTATTAAAACACGAATTCGTGTACAATGAGTGTCAGCTTGCATTTGAGTTGGATAATTCTACTCTAATATTTAATTTAAAATTGTTTTTTCGACATATTTTAATTATATTGATAAAAATTATGAGTCATAACTCATAATTAATGATTATTCAGTACTAGTATACAAGCAAAAAACAAATAGTACCTAATTATATGATTCATTAATACAATTTTTTTTAATAGTCGTAACTATATCAAATTTAAAGTTTATAGTTTTGTTTTGATTATTATTTTAAATATTTTACATTATATATCTTAACATATTATTAAACAAAGTCTCTTTTTCTTGCTGTATGCTTAGATCTTTAAAACTACCCGACGGATTTTGATGAGGTTTTTTTTTAATTGATAGAGTATTTCAAGAAGAAGGTGTATATGTATATAACAAGCACCCCCGGACGGTGCTCAAACAAGAATTTTGAGATTTACGATAGAAATTTTTGTTTATTAATGGTTGCTATTGACACAAACAAATAGAAAATATTCAAATTAAAAAAATTAATAATAAATCTTAAACTTAACAAAGTCCGGCGGCTGTCTGTATGCTTAGATCTCTAAAACTACTCAACGGATTTTGATGCGGTTTTTCTTTTATTTGTTAGTGTGATTGTAGAGGAAGGTTTATATGTATATATAACAATATAACATATGCATAATAAAGCAGAGAAACACTCCCTTTTTTTTGTATGTACAAGCATACCTCGAAAAGAATTCTTACTTATTTTAATGAGGTTTTCACTAATAAATCGGTCGAGTCACGGGGAAGGTTTTAATGTATAATAATTTTCCTTGGTGAAATTAATTGGGCGGCTGAAAAGAATAACAATCTATGTCTATATAATAAATAAAAATAATTGTTTGTCTGTATATAATTGAACTTCTCCTAAACCACAGGACATTTTCGGGTGTTTTTGAGTGAGTCCCTGAATAGTTTAGATTCACAATTAGACCCAGTTGGTTCATCCCGGAGAGGTGCTCAAATAGATATTTTGAGATTTACGATTTATAAATGGTTGCTATTGGTTATAGGATAAATATAGGAAATTGAAAATTGGAGGGTGTATACAGCTTGATTATTCAACTTATATAGACTGTAGATAGGTAAATGGTAGCTCACACATGATTTTTTTTAGCATACGAAAAAAGAATTTTTTATTTTTGTCAATCTAAATGGTTGCAATTCGTTACATATTATATTAATATTATAATTAGAAGAATCTAGTAGGTAACTAAAGAGTTCTGTTTAGATCTGATTACATAATTATTATTACAATGATTTGTAAACGATTAAGCTTAATTTTTTTAATACAGGTCTCTATCATCTAAACGTCTTTAATTATACATGTACCTATAGCGTCAAAACTTCATCAGAATATATAACCACCAAGGCAAACTTGTATAATCAAATAATAGCTGAAAACAACGCCACGACATATTTCGACTTCATCGTCAAAATCCTAGTACCTACGCACTCATATATTTATGATACGAAATTGCACGCACACTGCGCTCGAAATAAATAATAACTAGTTGTGAAAATCGCTCTTCGCGTTTAAATATATTATACACTTATGTACATTACAACATGATGTATTTGATAATATATAATATACACTTCCGTAGAAATCAGAGTTACGTCACGGAATGATAACCACACACAAAAACTACCTAGTTGCTAAAATGCAGCACGTACCTATATGGCACCTATTGCACCTCTATATAAAAATTCATCCTGGCGGTCGTCCAGTAAAACTCTCATGACGTTTGTAGGCCTATTTTGATATTGCACACAGCTGCAGAACTACACTGAAATGTACATATTGCATAGTATACCTATCTTTGACGTCGAACATAACGAACACTTTTTGTTTCAATTCCTGTAACGTAATAATAGTAAACGTATACTATCACCCGACAACCATATTATTATAGGTGCCTACTTAAGTAAGTGTAGTATATAATGAAAATCGTGTGTGTCTTTAAAGAAAGTTTTTAACCGAAACCTTATGCACGCGTAATGACTGTATAATAACGGATGTTTACTTCCATGGAATAAATAGATAGTGAATATTTCACTAGATAGTGTTTTCGATACTCGATGATTATTAACGGAAATGTACCTCAAATAATTGCGTTGAAGTAGTATAAAAATAAAAAATAAATATGAATATGTTTTTACTCCTAATGTGAACAATGAACGCTCGATAAAAAGTCAAGTTTTACGAGACAAAAAAACTGTAATAATCACATTCGATTTCGTAGAATACAAAACAGTAAATACTATGCTATCGAAATTCGAAATGGAAGAATCATTACAACTACTATATACTACTACCTAACTATTGTGTAGATGACGATAATGATTTTTAGCGCGTTTACATTTCTCTAACAATTATAGTATTATTAGCATATATATTATATATATGGTATAGTGATTAGTGATCACTGCTGCAGAAGTTGTAAAATGTATAGGTAGGTATAATTAAAGTGAACGCGGGTGCTGAACCTGTTCGTTGTCGTCGGGCTGTATTTACTATTGTCTAGTAGGTACCACGTCCAACCGCAGCGGCAAGTTTGACACGATCGAAAAAAGTTATGTTTCGTTGTTTTAGTAATAATAGCCAATAGGTATGTAGGGTAATTATTTAGAGCGATCAGGATATTTCTGAAAATTTAAATGTATAAAATATACCTAAGGTTCGACAAAAAATCTGATAAGTGATAGTTTGAAAGAAATCGTTCTTATCGAATACGGAATAACATTTTATTTTACGAATTTAGCTCACTCACGTTGTAATCGATTAGAACGTCGTAATCGTAAACCTTACAAAACAGCTGGTTTAGGAAATGTATGTGTATGTTTATGAATTGTTGTAATATATTATACATTTAACGATCAGCGAAGAGAAATATATACGAGTACAACTACGAGGAAAACAATAATATACTAGGACAATATCATACTACTTACAGTCTACACATAATGTTTTATGCCAGTTAATAACCGTGTGTACGGACAATATTAACACGCGATACACCATACAATTAAATAATTACTCGTGGACGATATAATAATAAATAAAATATAATATGTTTTATGCTTGCAGTGAATTATAATAAAATACATAATATTATTTTTATTTAATAAATACAAACGGACGTAAGCACAAGACGTTACTAAAGTGGTACCTATACGATAAAAATTATTTCACTACAGTGAATGATAAAAATATCATAGTCGATACTATGACCATCATTTAGTATAGTAACTTATATAAGTATTCACATTTAGTAAAATATAAATGTAGACTTAGTTATTAATTATAGTTAAATTAATTATGTAAATATTATAAATATGTTCAATTAATATATTATTATATCCAATTGTTGGATAAACAGTACCTATGCTTGTTTGATTACATTTGAGACAACTATACAGTTCACAAATTACAATGCATAATTATTATAATTTATAACTAACATTATGCATTAACGATTAACCGAATAAATATAAGGTATATTTACACAACTGTATCTATGATGTGTGGCTATCGCCCATCACTACATCCAAGCTAACATTTTGGTAAAGTATAAATAAATTCAAAATTTTTTAAATATCTAAACAGATTTACCTTAAACTTGTCGTAGGTGGAAGTCAGCTCCAGATGATGTACGAAAGGGTTGAGCATGTCTTTGGACGCGACCATATCGCTGCCAATCAACAGTTTGGTCTCGCTCATCTCTGCACCAGCAGTGGCAGCGGTGGCAGCGAAGTCGGCCGTCGCGTCTCGATCTTCTTCTCTACGATCCGGAAGCACTATAGTTCACCGCTGGCTAATAACAACAATATATACAAAGAATGAAGGCGAATAAGGAACGGTAAATAGTGTACTACTATACGATATTGTATAATTGTATTGATCACGTAATCCAAACAATTTTAAGTGTGTTATTTCTAAAATCATTAAGAGTTTGTGCTAGTGTGTGGGCGGAAAAATTTATAAAATCACAAGAAAAGGGGTTTTCATGAGTAAATAATAATAATCTACCTACGTTATATTATTATGAAACTACGAGGCCCAATGTGAACGCGGAAAAACAGCGACGGAGGACAAGAATAGTGCGGCTCGTTGACTATGATGTACCGTACACCAACGCGCGATTATCGACAATGTGCGGCGGACTGAGCGTCGGGACATGTGCAACAGCGCGAGCTCGCAGCAACCATGCGTGAGCGACGATCGCAAAATGCGCGCGCGCGCTAGCTAGTTCTCTCCCCTCCGCAACCCCGTCGTAAAAACTTTTGGTCGAAACGATAACGGTCAGCGGCGGCGAGTGTACCGCGAGCCCTACCCCTCCACCCAAAAATCCGTATCACCATCCCCAAACACATCATATTATAATTTATAGTACATACTTGTATGTAGGTATATAGGTATAAGTATAGTAGGTACCATGTATCATAAGTATAGCTGGTACTAAAATAATTGTTATACGATTTTTTTTTTTTATTTCAACGTGAAACCAATGTTGCAATAAGATAGGTATATCTACCTATATAAATATACATATATACATAATATATGAATATATTTTTTTTGTAGGGGGAGAAATGGTTGGAACGGTTCGTTGAAACACGTTTGTATGTGTGGAAAGGATTTGTAGCTGAATCCTGGGTGGTCACCCATCCGGGAGATAGCAACACCGGCCGATACGCTACGTCATACACTCAGAGAATTTCTGCAGTTGAGTGGACGGATATATACGGACCGCGCCACACCAAGCCGCTTATAAATATATTATAGTGTTAAATATCGCATAAATGTATCCTATTTTATCATATTTCATAGAGGACAACGGATAAGCTAAACGCCAACCCACACACGTAAATACTAAATATGTAAACATATACAATGTTTATCCAACCAGTTATTGAAATTATATAGAAATATTAAAAATAATTATTAATGATAATGAATATTAATATAAAGTTATTGATTATTTTAAAATTGAGCGGCACGTGAGTTGGGCAAGACTATAATATGTTTAAGTTACTTTAAGATCTCAAGATAAAACTATCTTTAAGAACTACCGTGTATGTGTTCAAAGTATAATTTGTACAGCTGTATCTATAACTAGTGCACTATTTTCAGAGTAGATAGTTTTTAAACTTCAGAAAAAAAATTAACTAAGGCGTCGGTTCGATCCCGGCTACAGGTGCCATTTTTCTTCAGGCAGTCACGGTGTCTGGGGAGATAAAGGGTCAATAAAAAAAAAAAATACACATATCCAGATTCCAGGGAATCCTTCTTTAAAATTACTATTTGATTGTTTTTTATATTCAATAAACAAACTGATTCATCTGAATGTCTGACGCATGATGGGTATATTGATTAATAATGACTAGATGATAATATTAAACAAGTCATAATAATATATAAACCGTAATTATAATTTATAACGTAGAGGCCAGAGAGTGAAAAAAGCTTTCCCTTTCTGCAATTTCAATATATATTAGGCAAGGCGGCATTACCTCAAGGTGTCCTCTCTTATTAACGCTTTAATAAGACACTATCATACACTATATAACTACTTAGAATAACACTTTCCTGGGCACTTTATCTGACAACACAGAATTACTTGAAATTATTTCAAATGAAAAATGTTATTTGAATAAAATTAATTCTTGAGAAAAATTGGAAAATCAAAATCCACGAATATAGATTACTGGGATGAACGTTACCCTAAACCGAAACTAATGTCATCCACTCAAACTATACAACAACATAATTACACTACAACTAACATCAAAATACCAAGGTATTGCACTAGAGTACTAGACCAAACATTATACCTGGTCAAACCAAACCAAGCAAAAATGTAAGCAACTATATATAATCCCATTTCCATTAACTTCGCCGTATTCTAAAATCAAACCCAGCTCTCAAAAATAAAACGCTTATTAACAAAGCAATCATCAAACTATAGTATGATCATTGATCATATTATTATGACTTATTAAGTCCCTGCCGAACTACAAACATTCGTCATATACAACCCTTTCATGTCGTCACCTTATAACAGTTGTCCCATAGGGCATGGAAAATGATACATGACAAACACTGTCCTTCATAGTTCACAGCGATCTAAGATTACAAACAGTATAATCTGTTATACCCAATGAACTCGCAAAAATCACTATGGAAAAATTCCACTCAAAGTTATCAAACTTATACAATCATAATATTTCGGAAGGGGCTTGAACGTGCCTGATATACAAATATTACCTACCTATTTTTTTTTTTTTTTTAATTTTTTATTAAGATATTACATGCATATACAAGTATACAACAACCCCGGAGTAGGTAAATACAAAACCTGCAAGGTTATTACATTTATTTATTGCATATTTTATGATAATATATATATATATGTAGGTATATTATATTAAAAGAAGAACGTGTAATCACGCAAAATATATAGTATTTATTTTATCCAACTGCCGTAGTATTGTCCGTCCGCGGCGTGGCTGTGATAGTGTGATCAATCGATCGACGGCTACATAATATAATATTATGTGGGTCACATAATTTAAAATGTTATATTATAAAGCCGATAACTGTACATCCCGTTGCACCTAAACACATTATAAACATAATGCCACTGTCATTTCGGGACTGCGTACTACTTTGACACACTATGCCTAAATGGATCCGTAAGATAATATCGTATACGCGTAAAATAATATATTATACCTACATGCAATGACTAATTACTATACCAGAATACCAGATTATATAATTTAAGAGTTATTTGTAACAAAATATAAAATACTTAAATGTAATCATAGAGGTCCAATAGACTAGGACAATAACAATAACAATAACAAAAATTCTAAAATTATGTGTGAATGTGACATGTGCACTCGGTATGTAAATATTATGAACAGAATTCATTCTGTAGTCAGTGTCAATATTTTAAGGAAATCTATGGTGTCTTTGGAATTATTAATGTGGATAAATATTAAATAAAATAGATCTAAAAAACCATAAAAGTTAAACTATAGGTAAGTATATAACTAAACAATTTGAACTCTAGGAATTTTTCAATAAACGATTGTGAGGAGCAGCACTTCATCTTAGTATCAAATTGATTGATACTATCAATTAAGAACAATGTTAAATGATTAATTATGGCATAACCACAATTTACAAATTTAAATTTAAAATATAAAATAAAATAATCACAACCGATTTCAGTAATCCCTCTTATATAATTGAAAAAATAATGAAATTTTAGACTTGACATAATATGTGTATAAGAGAGACCATAAATTATAAAACCAAAGTGATAACACGAATTCGTATAGATTTCTTAGATCAATAAATATAATATTATATCTAATGCTATAAATTCAATATTATGCCTAAAACTATATAGGTATCAATAAAACATGCAACATTCAAATGACAAATGGGCAAAGCGGGAACATTTTATTAAAGAAAGATATTTACATATAGGTACCTATGGACTATAATAGATGATATACTCTATTAATATACTTAAATAATGTTCTTATACTAGAGTTCCTATACCTACTACACGCTCTATATTTTATACTTATAACATGTATGTAATGAGGTAGAGTTCGTATAATGATCTAAGGACTAAGACAGTAAGACCTAAGCCACGATTAGTTGTTGAAATACGTGCGTCTATTTATTTAGTAACGAAATCCAAAGCAAATAATATACATAAAAGAACTTGTCAAAGTTTTGAAAATATAATTTTTTTTCTTTAAACTTAAACATTTAGTTTGCGCTAACCATAAATATATTTTGTTTTAAGTAGCCAGAAAGTAATTTCTGGCCAAGGTCGCACTTGATACTTTCGACTAATGCGATATTGAAATTATAAATATTTTACCTGGCTTAAAGTTGGAACCCAATATCCATATAATAAATATATGACTAAACTATATACGTATTTATAGTTTATAAGTATAGTTATAGGTACATATTATACTATATAAATTATAAATATATGAAACAAAAATTGTCTAACTGTACTTAATTTTTTTCGGATTTATTGCAACTTTCTCATCAAACACAACCTCAAGTGAAAGTAAAGATACTTATTACCTATTTACATATATTATACACGGTATACACCATAAAACAATACATATTTTTCATAAGAATACGTGCAAAAACTGTATTATCGATGTATTTCGCAATAATTATTTGTGATACACGTACAATTGTTTTGTCGTACAGAATAATGACGATTCGAGTGCCAAATATATAATAAAGCGATAAGCCAAAAGACAAGCGTTAAGTAATAAATTAAAAGTTACTTACATAAACATAATACAACTAAAAACAAACTAAATATTAAATAAGTTAAAAACCAAAACAATAAACATCACACTATTTCGATAACTAATCACTAATCAACATTTTAAAGATTCAAGTTTTGATAAAAATTATTGATAATAACTTGTGCTATGGGAGGTTGTACAGTGTGTTGTATAATCTCCCAGACATCGTAGAGAAAATCCACAGGTAGTAAGCAATAAGACGTGGCTATAAATTATAATACATAATATTATTAGCAAAATATTGAACTCATAATACATTCACCATTTCGTGATTACTTTAACTTAGTAAGTAAGTCTCAGTTAGTCATGCGCCATTGCTCGACTGTAAACAATGTAAAATAATGTATAATATATTATTATATTAATATCTTTATAAGTTTAAAGTTATAACTAATAATTATTATTAAATTTCAAAGGATGTTTCCAAAATATTATTAAATGTTAGCTAGGTATTAATTATTATGGTAATTTTAATGAGGATATGAGGATATTTTAAAAACACATAAATAACATAAACAATATCTACCTACCTTGGAGCTTACTTTAAACTTAAATTTTAATATAACATTATGTACCTACTGTCAAAATTATTTCGCTTTCTACAGCCATACCAATACATTTAGGAGGAATGTCCAGATGAATGTTATGCAACAATACATGAGACGATGATGATTATCATTTATCATATTACACTTCATATTTATACCTGTAATGTAACTTACTTACATTTTCAAAAATAAAATCCCATTCAGTAATTAGCAAAATAAAAAAATGAAAGTCCGTGTTTGCAAAGTCACTGTTTAGACCGTTTACTATAATAACCACGTTATTATTAGTTTGGCACATAGATATCATTATACATCATACAAACAAACAAATATAGGTACTAGTAAATAATAATTAATGGTTTGGAAGGTATGTTAGACACTTAGACTTAATGACGTAACTCTTTGTTTACTTGACACATTTAGTAAAAATGAATACCTTATATAGTGTCTATGTACCCAGTTGTAGGTAGTACATATAGTAAATTTATATTCTCGATATTTGTATTTGTACTTACATTTATAAGTGTTGTACTGTTATAACCAGGGGGTAATTTGGGGGGGGGGGGGGGCAGGTTGTACATTTGCACCATTTTTTTTTTTAAACGCCGTCTTAGGCTTGCCAACAATAATTATAATAGAGCCGATATACCTAAGTGTTTTATATTATATATATTTTATATTTTTTCGGTATTAAAAATGAAAAATTATTGTACTAATGTTGAATTTCCAAGAGTGTGGTTTTGTGGTCCCACAATATTATAATTGATACAATTATAACACAAACATTGTGAAGAAGGGTATCCATAAAATAAATTTCTGGTTTTATAAGCTAGCAATATTATATAATTTGAGTATGCGGGGAGAAAAAATGTGTAGGTTAGGTTCAGTTAGCTATTTTATAATTTATTATAAAGGTGTTTTATACCCATACATTTATTTACCAAGTGTAAATACCACTGTACACGTGGTATCCAAAATATGTATAAAATAAATACATTAAAAGTACCTACACATAGTTCGTCAAAAATATTAACATTATTGTGATATTTTCATACTAATATAAGTGACATATTAAATAAATTATACAAATATTCTACAGTTTTTGTCTCCACTTGACCCCCTCCCCCCCAAAAAAAACAAAAAGTTTTCTATGTGGCCTGGTAATGATTTGAATGGCCTGCAAACATTTTTGCACCAACAAAAAAAAAAGTTGAAATGACGCCCCTGGTTATAACTTATAATACATAACTGATATCTCTAAAGCAATTATCATAGATATATTTATAAAAAAAAATACCAATAGTACTACACTACTACCTATAGAAATATAAAAATTAATAAAAATGTAACGTGACTTCAATAAACATTGTTAGAATATATTATGACGGTATTAAAAAATGTAAAAGTTAAAGAATGTAACATTTACGCAGGTACCTATGTACATTTTTTATGAATATTGAGTAATATACTAATGTTAGATAATTTTATTCACTTATAACTTTTCTAGTGTTTTTCGAAATTTTAAAAGGCCCAACATTCATAGAAACTAGTTTAAAACTAATCTAAACCTTAACCTACCTCTCTTAAATACCGAATTCTTATCAAAATAACAACATTTTATTTTAAATTTACAAATTCTTAATCAAAATAATGATAATAATACAACGTCATATTAATTATAATAGCCTTAGTTTATAGATTTGGTACATTAAAATTGCGTCTCAACAAAATCACGGTGGCCGGTGGGCCCAAAGCCAAAAAAAAATTTTAATCTAACAGACTCGAGGGCGCCAAGATATCTAAAAGTATTGTGGTTTACTCAATCATCAAAATAAATTTAATTATTGTATATAATTAATTGAATTTAAAATGTATAAATACTACTGATATAGCAGACACTAGCAGTATAATCTATGCACATTATATACCTATATTTTAATACCTATATTTTAATAACTATATTTTAAGTTTGTATAATATTATAATTTATAATAATAATATAATATAAATCTGCATATTTTATGATGACAATTGACAACTTCCGTAAAAAAAATATAGATGAGCCGTTGATAACAGGGACGTACCCAAGCCCCCCCCCCCATTGATTAACAGAATGTTAAATCTTAAGGTACAAATTACTTATTGTATACTTTTACTTGTCAAAAAACTTGACCCCCCCAACCATTAAAAATCCCTGGGTACTCTACTGGTTCATGCGCATACAAATATACAATAACACACAAGATGCAACATTCAGAACACAATAATAACAAGTAACAACAAACAACGACATTTCTCGAATAATAAAGATTCTTTACCAGTTTACCATCGATGGTCATTGGATAAAAATGTATTAATTATTAACCAGCTACCTTCGGGACGTTGTATTTCGAACGATTCGGCAGCGTCCGCTTGTTCTTCCATGAGATTGTAGTCCAGTGCTTGTTGCCAGCAGCTGATTTGCATTTTAATAATAATAATATTTATAATATGTGAGTGTCAGCTGTAGTGGCCGCGGCGGCCCTCATAGTCCAGCTGCAGTGTTCACATTCCTCCGGAGCCGCAACCGGATCGCTGTCAGCGGCAACCTGCTATCAAGCTCCCGGACGGATACGCACTTGTTGTTCAAGTTGTTGTTGTCGTACCGTTAACGACTCGTCCGCGGTCCTCACGCCAAACCCGTGTGAAAGGGAGGTGGTAACGTTATAATTTTTTTTATTATTATTCCTTCTGTCAATCGTCGAAAACACGGTATAATCGTACGTCGTGTCTAGTGCTCCGTTCCGATCGTCGTTGCTGTCGAAACGGACAGTGAATAAACAAACTAATCCCAGTCGTCGGATATTTTGTACTAAAGAGTACGTCTTGTATAGCAGCAGTCAAACGCGCGCGAAATACTTGCAGATTTCCACCGGATTGTAACGATAATATTATGTCGGATTTCGTCCCGTCCGAGAGGCGCAACAGGTGAGAATAACGTTATTGACGCTATTATAATTTTATAGTAGAGATCCTCCGTAAGTGTTCGCACTTGTCAGTGTCTTAGGTACAAATACTACCCCGAATCTCTAATAACGTACGCCGTTGTAATAATTAGGATAATATGTCGTACAGCCTGGATGTAGGTAAGTAATCTTTCGTAATCGACGAAATAGGATCTTAGAACGGTGATCGACAGTGCGAATTCATCGCATTGAATTCACACCCACCCGCTTGTCGAATACAATAATATAACATTCATGTTGTACTTATAAAATAAATAATTATAGCGATGTTGTACGCTCAAACTTCTAAAGTTCTATAATATATTATATTATTATAGGCATTAATATTAATATTTAATATTATAATCCTTATTACAAATGTACAATGAAATTCTTCGCTCGTATTGTCGTATGAAGGTATACAAACGATAAATACCTATAAAAAAAATAAGTAGCTATCATGAGTTACCGTCGTCATCGACTTTCAAAGTACCAATAAAAATCTCTTCACTTTACTGGCTCATAGTCTGTTTTCAAACGAGTTCCTAAACACGGGCAGAACGTATAATAAAAATCTCTTTGAACTGTTGTGCAACAAGTCGATATGGGTAATATACGTTTATTGTTGTACCTACCTACGTAGGTAATCAAATATAATAATGTGAATAAAAATCGTAGATAAATAATAAGGGAATAAGATCATTTACGTATAGATAATAATATATTAGATGCACCTCTTCCATAGGATGTTACATAATATGTACACGCAGAAACATACAATTACTAAAATTATTTCTTTAAGTTACATTTTACGATAAAAACGACCAAACGTGCACCAAATTTAGTATAAGGAAAGCATGAAGCGATTCAAAATCTTCGGTTCCCCTTGCGTGGTAAGAAATCCAAAATGTACAAGTAAGTATACAATGAAAACCTACCATCTTATTTGAGTTTCATTTACGTTTTATTGTTGATCTTGATAATATTCAATTAGGAACTTATAAACAATACGTTTCAAGCATAAAATCATAATATCTTATTACATTATGAATTATAATATGCTTTTACGAATACGTATTATTACCGAAGTGACAGGTATTGTTTTCGTCGACACATTTATAATCCTTTATAATCTCCTATCAAGTACAACGGTGTGACCGGCCTTTAAGCATGTATACGAAGATCATAATATTTTCTATATCCCTGTTGTAGGTATTTACTATACTCGATATGGTTAATTTATTATTATGCATAAATAATATATTTTAGTGAGTGTCTAATTCACACATTTTAAAGCAGATAAACGTGTTTCTATGCGCTTGAAAGTAGGTGAAGAGGTTTTCGCTCGTATTAGAAATAAATTTGATTTTTAATAACTCGTATAGTTTAATGTTTAACATTTTTACACGTGTCATAAATTCTTGATTTTAGTTCAATATAAAATCTGTACCAATTTTTTTACATATAAGCTGACGCGTCTGGAAAGGGGAGCTTTGGGTCATTAACACTATGCTACCATTAAAATATATTATTTATGTGGTCTAAATTGGCACCCATTGAGGCCTCGGAAATTAGTAGCAATTGTATATGTAGGTAGTAGGTACATTTATCGTTTTAACTAAATAAAAACTTGTTTAAACCTGAAATTTACTCAGAAATTAAGATACACGCTTGCCCGATTATATTTGTATTTATATTTATTTCGTATCATAATTAAAATCAATGAAGTTATTTAAAAATGTATTTTAATAATAGTGAAATATGCACCAATACGAATCCGTTTGTAACGTAATAAAATTATAATTCATCTTAGACTATGGAAAATTTACAAAAGTTAGATTAGGGACATATAAAATCGAGTATAAAATGTATTTATATAGACATAAATAATATATTACCTATGTATCTAAGTAATATGAATTCGTAGTAATAATCATAAATTCATAAACAATCCAAATTTTATGTGATGCTTAAAAAAACTTAAAAAAAACTTTTTGTTACATCTCTCTTTCTATGTAAAAATTCGAAATACGCCATTTAACGTAAATATATAGGTACTGTATATATATATAGGTGCTCTTACATATTTTCGTTGCAGGTTCTATAGTAAGTGCCTGCAATAGTCTTCCGAGCCAGAACGCTTAACCTATTATTATTTATTTTCATTATCGTATGTTGTATAACGTCGAAATAATAATGTGCACGTATTATAATTCGCATTCGTAATAATATTAGGCGTGTTAACTGACGTATAACCGCATGCGGGGATACTGAGTGTATTAATATTATATATACCTATATGGCTATATGGCTTTATCGGTGTATACACGGAACTAGGATTCAAACCGAAACAATAAGCTGAACAACGCGTGTATTTCACGAATAAAACGAGCAAAATAATAATATATATTATATTATTATACAGCAATAATTTTTTCATAAATCGTCGTTTCCCTCATCATATATACCTATATACATACAAACACACGCTTAGGTATATCATAATACATGAGGCATGAGAAAATCGGGGGTCAACGACTTGCGGAATAGCGTCGATGATGAAGAAGAGCGTTGTTGGAATGGGACTTTTCATCATTATCATCATCATCGCCATCGTTATAAATTATAATATTATGCACAACGGTGGATTTTAAGTATTTCCTACCATTATAATTCATAGCCTTATTGTCTTATTAGTATAATGGCCGATGGACGGTGGTACTACTCAGTAATGGTACAATACTACAGTGTATACGCTTAAAAATTACCGCTGATTTTGTATTTTCTTCGATTTTTATTCCAAATTTGAAATATAGGTACTCTAAGAAATAGGTACGATTGTAGTGCACCTCTATATTTATGCAAAATAATGAAATCTGTATACAATATTACAATAAAAATATAAATTATGATACCTATACGGGCTATACGGCTATAGGTACATGGTTACACCCACGGTTATCTACTCAGGTTGCGAAACGAGGCGTGATAACGCGTCTCAAAACGGTGTATTGGTGAACTATAGCGCTAGTAGTACTTGGCCCGTCTACTGAGCACCGATCACGAATTTTACCACGTACAATATACGTAAAATATTGATCAACGTCATTATAATTTATATTTTTATTACTTACTGTAACTTGTTACTTGTAAGTTGATTTTCATAAATTTATTTTAGTGTCTATTGAACTTGAACTATATACTTACCTTTTGGTAGAGTGGTTTTCAGTAATATAATTAATTATATAGGTATTTTAGGTATTGAGTAGGTACCCAAAAATTAATTTGAATAAAAAACTAATACAATTGTAATTTCTTAAAATACGAAAACATTTTTTTTTTATTACAGTTTTATTGATCAAACCAAACTTGAACCAATTGTCTTTATAGTTTATATAAAACTAATTTAGAACCATAAATGAATAAAACCATCATAAAAATTTTAAAATCTTGTATAATATTATACAAGGTGGAACAGAAAGACCTGACAATTAAATAGGTAACTTTTGTTCTAATCAATATTTTTAATTATTAAGTAACTCATTAATTTTAAAAGTAAATACATTTTAAGTGATAAATTAGATTTTAACATGTACTTACTCAAAATTCTTATAAAATATTTTTAAAAAGTATATACTAATCCTTATATACAAATTGTCTAATTATACCTGATTTACAAATTGGATATTTTGATTTTTTCAAAAAAATTGTACATCAGATTTAACATTTATTTTTTTCAGTTATATACTAATCATTATATACAAATTGATTAATTATACCTGATTTACAAATTGGATATTTTGATTTTTTCAAAAAAATTGTACCTACATCAGATTTAACATTTATTTTTTTCAGTTTTAAAAAAAAAAAAAAAAAAAAATGCTATATTATATAATAATAGTCAATTAATTATACATTATTACAAAAAAAATATTGAGTATAACAAAAGTTATTTTATTTGTCAGGTTTTCCTGTTACACCCTGTATGTAGGATGTAGGTGCTAAAAGCTTATTGAGATATAACAATAAATATAAAATAAGTGTTAGATTCTTTGGGTATCCAACAGAAATTCCTTTAACCTGTATTATGTATATTTATAAGTTGTGACTTGTATATAAAATAAGCACAATTTAAAACTTGAATTAATTAATAATCACTCGTCATATGTATGTTTTATTACAAAACTATGATACTAGAGGGCCAAGAGCTACTAGCGCTGGTAGTTCACAATCACGCCGCTTGGCTGATTATTACAGTGGAGTTAGATAGGCCGTTTCGCAACCTGAGTAGATAACCGTGGTTACACCTTACACGTACTCGTAGTTAGTCTGTATGATAGTGGTTAGTACCTACCTACAATATTATACATTTATTGTACTCAAAATAAAAATACATTACTTACCGTGATTATTTGAACTTCGACAGTTCGAAATAGGACCTAGGTACTGTTATATAGTGTTGGGTCGTGTACGTATTTAATCAGTGAGACGTCCATATAAAAAATTGAAATAGTTTCTTAATATAATAATATGTACACTCTACAGGTATGTAAATACACCTGGGACTTGGGTACTCATTATTTTATTCGATGCAACGTTGTTCTATCGCAATAAGTAATTACAGTAATTTATTGAATAACTTAAATTGTAGACGTCGTTGTGCCTGAATTTGCGTGTTCAGTTTAATATAAGAATAAACAGTTTTGAAGAAAAAAACATGGTCAGAATCGAGTTACCAATAAAATTTGTATATTTACCGACATTTATGAAATCTTTTACAATACTGCTACTTAAACATTACTTTCATTTACGCCATCAATTGCATGGGTAATATTTTCAGTTTGAACAATAATACAATTTTAAAAAATAAGTTACAGAATAAATAGACCTCCCAGGTTCATTTTATATTTCTAAAATAGCAAATTTTCTAAATCTAATATTTATCAATAATTATCCATACATGAATACTAACTACAAAATACATAATACATCAATATGTATAAGATTTTAAATTAAATAGGTAATTCATAGGTACTCAGAGAAAAGACAATTGTAAGGAAAATTTGTTATGCTATCATATTTATATCATTACTGTTTTCAAATGTTTGTACCTAAGATATTGGTATCTAACTATTTTCATTGATTTTGTTTTCAGAAATTAATCAGTGGACGAACACAACTATGAGTGATGAGGGAAGAAGATTTAGAAATAGCGTTAAAGGTAGGTATTTGCTATTGGGTATATAATTGTATACCTTACAAGTTGAAAGTTATAACTGTTAATACCTGAGATAACTAAAATTATGTTTTATCTTTAAGGTGGTGATCGTGGGAAATGGCGCAGTCGGAAAATCGAGTATGATTCAGCGTTACTGCAGAGGGACATTTACCCGGGACTATAAAAAAACAATTGGAGTAGACTTTTTGGAAAGACAAATAGAGTATGCTACTTAAATAAATACCTCATTATGCTACAGATCTTGCTACTGAATTACACAAAAACATGATACATTTTATGCACCAATCGCGAGTTCATACTATTAGATATTGTAATGTTTTAATAATAAAGATAAATAATTACATTGCTAATATGGTAGTGTGGAATTTGACAAACAAACAATTACAAATACCAAATGCATTATATTATCTATATATCTAACTCTTATTAAATGAGTAAATATGTGAAATTTTTAATTTGTCTACAGTTTATATAACATATATATTTGTTATATAACATTACTTAAATGTCCAGAGCTTATAAGTTATAAGTTTATAACCAAACTATTTGGTATTTGCCCATACCACAGAAGTAAAAATAATAATAATATTTCTACAAATAATAATTCTAATAATATTTCTACAATTATGTGAGCTTTTCTGACTTATTCATTTTTCGACCAACCCGAAGTCTGCCACTCTACAAATCGGTCTTTCCAACGCATTTCGGACAAACCGAAAACCGCTTCCCTGTTTCAACATTAATTAATGCATATAACTGGTAATTATATGCATAATGTATTTGTAGTAATTGTAGTAAATACTAATTAATGAGGAATTATGTGCTAAATGTGTTGATATCTCCTTGAATTTGTATTGAATGGATCGTAGAACATATATCAATACTAAATTCTTCAATAGGAATCATTTTTTGACAAGGTCTTACTTCAAAAATAAATATTATAATTTTCTTAAACTATGACTATGAATATTTTATTTTAGATGCAACGGGGAAGACGTGAGGTTAATGTTATGGGACACAGCAGGCCAAGAAGAATTTGATGCCATTACCAAAGCATATTACAGAGGAGCTCAAGCTTGTGTGTTGGCATTTTCCACTACAGACAGAGATTCTTTTGAAGCAATTCACTCGTGGAAAATTAAGGTTTCATTTCAATTAAATAATATTTTATCGGTGGTTAGATAAGTTTTTATAATAGCTATTAAATATTGACCATAAATGCAAATGGGATACCTACCTGAGGCTAGCTGACCCTACGGACTCATCTTAGTCCATCAGCTTTCAATTCATAATCGATCTCCCTAATTGTCTGTATACTATTTTATTAAATTACAATCTCTGTTTTGTTATAAAAAACAACCTTGCTACTTAGCTACTTCAGTTATGTTTATGAATTATGGAATAATTATGGTCCATAATATTATTTTTCCTAAGACAATATTGTAAGTATTTAATATAGAAATATTCAGTAAAATAATGTTGTTGTTTTGTTCAAATTTCTTTATTCTTATACAAAATTTTACTAGATTTATCATAAGGTTAACCTACCTATGTTATTATGGTAGTTTAGTTATGATTTATAGAATAAATAAAATATTTCAATCATATTAATTCATTCAATATTCAAATGCCTTTAATGTTAGTTAATTACCGTGATAATTTGACTATGTATTGTATAATATAATACAAATTAATATGTTATTTATGATTAATAATTATAAAATAAAAAGTTGTAACTGATGTAAATATAATACATGATAACTATAGGTAGTATACAATATGCATGTTTATTATTCATAATTTACTAATTTTTTATAATTTTTAAAGGGTGTTGGTCTTGGTAGTAATTATTTATCTTGATTCTTCTCTTCAATAAACTCAATTACGAGTACTTCAACAATTACGTAAGTTATACAGCTTAAAAATATTGCAAAATATACTACTGTTAATTCCTTTAAGATCAAAACTTAGTCTATGAAAAATAGGCTAAAAATTCACTAGATCTTGTAAATAAAATTTGTCAATTAAATTTACTACAGGTGGAAGACGAATGTGGAAAAATACCAACAGTGATTGTCCAGAATAAGGTTGATCTAATTGAACGCAGCCAAGTTGATCCGTAAATATTACTATTTATTTAGATTTTACTTACTAGTAAAATTTTAATAGCTTATCGGTAATCGATAATAATGCACAATGCTTTACCATATAAAACAATTTTTAGTGTTTTAATATTGTACAATATTTAATTGATTCTATCAGTATTGTTATTGACAGTAATCCTAGTTAGTGCATATTATATTATACTTGTAACATATATTAATTTAATTTACTAAATAGGAAGTAAATCAAGACATATGTACTCTTTAATTTTAATTTATACAAGTGTATCAGATTCTTAGTCGCTTATTGTGTTTAATCAAAACTAATACAATGTAGACTACATCATGTTGCTTGTAACAATAAACTAAAATCACAATTTAAATATTTTATAGACAAGAAGTTGACATTCTTGCCCGGTCGTTAGGCTGCAAGCTAATATGCACATCCGTTAAAGACGACGTCAATGTCAACAATGTATTTAGGTATTTGGCCACGCGGTGTTTGATGGAAATACAGAAAGAAGAACAGGAATATATGTCAGGGAATGGAATACACCAAACATATACAATAGGTAGATTAATTGTTTTCACCTTTTCAAACAGCAATCAACTTAAAATATTACTGTTACTAAAATAAATAAACTATCTCTTGTGGTTTTGTGTGGCTCGGTCCGTACATTCAACTGCGGAAATGTTCAGAGTGTAAGAATTGGCCGGTGTTGATAGCTACCGGATGGGTGACCACCCGTGATTTTTAGCTACAAATCCTTGCCACACATACAAACCTGCTTCAACCAACCGTTCCTCCCACTACAAAAAAAAAAAAAAAAACAAACCTACTCCTCTTACCCCTCAAGTTTTGTTAATAAATTTTTATAAAAAAAAATAACATTGATAAACATCACTAATTTTATAACTATGATGAAATTAAACAACAATATTCATTTATATTACTTAAGTAATTAGTATATATTTATAAACATTTTAATTTTTACTTGGACGTATGTAATAGCTTATAAGCTATAAAGACAAAATATGTCACTTTATATTATAGTAATTAGTAATAATGTATCTAGAATAGTAAAATATTATCTGAAAAGATTCAAGTGACTTATATCTAGTTTTAATTATTAAACATGAAAACTATTCCCTAATAATATAGCAATTTGTTTATTTTTTTTATATATATTTCAAGGTTCATTTGGTGCAGTTCCATACCACAACAGAAATTCTTCAACTACAATAAAATTGAGATCTGGAAAAATAAGACAAAAGAAAAAAAATATCTTTAAGAACTCTTGTGTCATACCGTAATAGTTTAAACAATAACTTTTCCAATATAAAAATGTTTGATGTGTAATTAATAAAATATGAAACAAAATAACAATATTGAAAAACAATTGATATCACTATGTTTGTCAGGAAAATCAGTAGTTAAATTTAAGATTACGTTAGTGATGAAGGTTATAATATTACAAATGGAAATGTTGTAAATTACTGACAAGCTTGTCAAGCTACTTGTCTTTAGATCCCATAATGTAATCCAACAGTCCTTGTAGTCGTTTAATAATACGTTTCTGATCGTCGAGGGTACACCCCAAGACGGCTGTCTCAAACACCTTACAGCCAAGCTCATTTTCCAATGGACTACAAGAAGCTATGTATGACTGACACATGGCCTTGGCATTATCAGGATCATCCCTCAATGTATTCACAATTCTGTCAATCATCGTATTGATTTCTTCCAAACAATTTTGCTGACTTTCACTCCTGGTGGTGTGCACATTGATGTTAACAGTTTCACATCTATCTATGATACGATTGGCAAACTGATTAATGTCTTCTTTGTCAACTGAAACCATACGTTAAATGTAATAATAAAATGTATTGTACAATGTACATGGAAATCAAACGCTCACCGTCACTCAGCTGGTCCAGCAGTTCAGAATTCCTTACGTCTTCCACGCTGCTGTAAACATTTTCGAGATCCTCGGCCATTTTCAAAGCCTCTTTTCGTATGTTTTCAATGAGCATTTCGGCGTGGTCCAAAATTGTGGTCAGATACTGTTTGGATCTTTGGTGTCCATCGTCATCCATTGCGAGTTCTATAAACGATAAGGACGGGTCTTGATCGCCGAAAATGCGAAACTTTTTAGTATTTTTTCTCAGAACTCTGATCCTTGGTCACAATATTACGAGCGACGTTGACGTGCTTACAACTCGGCAAAGACAACCCGATATGGAGAGTACCGCCTACGTAACGACTTACATCACGTTTTGCTCTTCTTCGGTGTTATAAAAAAAAAAATAACAACAGAATTGCGACTTTCGAACGATCATTGACAGATTAACAGTGTATGAATTGTCATTATAGTGATGACATTAATTTTAATACAATAGAACGAAACGTGTAAATATGTATACCTTCCGGCTTCCAACAAACAACGAGAAACGTTGAACTTATCACCTCTGGTATTCTTTTATCTATGCTTATTGCTCAGCACCTCAAACCGAAGTGCCACTTCAGTTCAGTAGTCGCGAAGGTCGTCAACCAGTAGCACGATTTAAGGTATATCTTAAATCGTGACCAGTAGTAACTATAGTAGGTAAGTTGTTTCGGGTTACCCCTTGTCCAGGCAAGTCAGTTGCCAGTTTTTATCTTTTATCAATGCTGTTGCCTTAATTCTTATCAGTTATAGATAATTGATAAGCAAATTGAATATTTTTCACAGATATACTATATACACACTACACAGGTCACATACACAATATTATATTATTTAAAAAAAATAGTATTATACAACTATACTAAATCTGTTAAAGCCCTACTTTAGTACAATGATGAATGAATTACTTTCCTTGGGAACTGAACTGCCTATAAAGTATTAATTATATGTTGCAACTATTTGTTTTGTTATGATAAATAACAATACTTGTTTGATTTTCTTGCTTAAAAATTTCAAAAAGATGCTTATTATATTATCTAGGTGTTCAAATTATTAGTTATATTACTAAAAAATCTAGCTATTGAACCAAGTGTTCAATTATTGGTATTGATTAAACATAATTTAATCCAGTGATTGAACATGTATATTAATTTATCTTTTAAGTTACGAAAAAAAATATATACAATCAAATATAGGTACCTAGTTAAATAGAATATTGTCAAATATATATTTATGGTTTTTTCTTTCAAAATGGCCAACAATGTAACTTCCAAATCATTGTCAATAAATAAAGCTTTCATAGTTCTATTAAATAAGGATAACCAAATCTACAATATTTATGAAAATATCAGGAAAAATTCTTGTAATTAGGAAACGGGCCCTTGGGGCCTTGTTCATATTTAAGTGATGAAGAAGAAAATCAAAAAACACTTGATTTTATGTCATTATATAACACTCGGTTTTCCTTAGATTTTTGATTTCCGCATCTTTTCTGATAGGAAAGCAAATCTAGTTGGTACATTCAAGAGGTAAAAATAAAAAAATAGTTTTGGAAAGCGTCGGGCAAAACCAAAAAAAATTCAGAAAAATGGGAATTTTTAGGCGAACCAATTTTTAATAAAATCTATTTTATTTTAATCTAACTCTAAAACTAATGACTGTAGATATTTTTAATTTTCACTGTATGTTAATATGTTAATTTTCCTCCGGTACATGTTACAATTTTTGAAATATTTTAATTATTCTCAATTAACTAGTACATATGTATATATTTAAGATTTGAGTTTTTTTTTAATATATTATATTAAAGACAAATTGTTTTGACAAATATTTTTTTATATACCTAGTGTGTTTGAAGTGTTCAAGTACTAGTGTCTAACATGCTTTGTTCAATCACTAGGATTTCACTTTTTTTTTTTAATTAACTAATATGTTTAATAGTAATTTGGTGGTTTTATATAGTTTTCTTATAATTGTTACTTGTTAGTTTAAAAACAAACCGTTGTAACAACCTTTAAATCTAAACTGTGTAAATATTATGCTGAAAACCAATTTATGAATACATATTGATAACAATAATAACCTTTTTTTATAGGTATTTTATTTTAATTGAATCTTGATTTTTTTTTCAGGACAATTTAAGAACAAAATAATATATTCTATAGTTTAATTAATGTATTAAAATATTTGAAAATTTTAATTGCCACAATTGGACAGGCCCCTCTTTTATGGATACAATAAAACAAGTCAATTTGATGAGCAAAAAAAAATGTATCATTTATATTTTATAATTTATTCATTCAATTTATTGTTTTAATTTTTATTAGCTACCTAGTACCTACCTATATTAATTGATGTCAAATGAATGTGTCAAACTTTAAAGAAGTTAATAATTAAAATTCAATTTTCAAAGTTCTCAATTTTTATGTATCTATGGTTAAATGTTTAGCTTTGTTTTTTAAATAAAAAAATTGTATTAATATTATCAAGGTTTACAAGAACTTTTATTTTTATTAATACATCCATTCCTAATAATGAGAAAATACCATTGACAATTATGTATTCATGTTTTATTTCTATTATTCTATCAATGATTTTCCGACAATAGAATGTTATGTGCCGACTGTCAGGGAAGTGGTCAGCTGGCATCATATAATAGTACCTATACATTGAGTTATGAAGAAAACCCATTCAATTGTTCAAATGGTGGTCTAACTTTTTTTAGTTTTGGGCAATTCAACAAGACTGAAACTAATGTACATTTGCGGATGTATCTTTTAATCTTTTCAACTTTTTATTGCAACTAATAGTTTATTTTAACTTTAAAGCTATTTTATTGAGTTATCAACTAACGCATACATAAATACATAATGACCACACAGAACCAACAATTTATAAATTGTTTTTATTAAATTAAAAAGTTTAAAAAAAAAGTTGTCTAAAATTAGTACTTTTGAAAGGAAATTGTGTATTACTCCAAATAACACTGTATTTACCAAAGACCAGTAATGGGTTTGGATTTAAATATAGGAGACTCAGTGAAGTATAGTGAGTATATATTTTTATAGTGTGCTTCTACTCGGTAAGTTTTTTTAATGTCATACTGGGTTGTTCATCTGTACTTCTTAATAATTTTGCCAGCTCATATCTTTTCATGTAAGTATTTATCTAATATAAATAAAATTATCTTGTATACCTTTACTGTATTACTGTCTAAAAATAAAATGTTTGTATATACTTCTTCTGAGTCCTGGTAAATCCTAGTAGCAATATATTCTTCAAATAAATATGTAAATGTATATCTGCATTTATAAACTCAAATAAAATGTATTAATAATTACCACATAGTAATTGAAAATACTAATATAGTCTTAATTCAATTTAACTAGAAATTATCAAACTTCAATTCTGGAAACAAAAAATCAATTTATTGTAGACAAAAACAAATCTAATTGTTTACGTTTAGTGTTGACAAGTTTTTTATGTTTTTTTAAATCACTAGAACCCATTCCTCTTGGTAATTCATCTTCATCCAAGAGTATTTCCATCTCTTCAGCAGCTTTATTGAACCAATTTGTAGATGCTGTTTCTTTCTTTGCCTTTTCTTCCAACGTAGTTACCTCCTGAGCCAGTTTTACACATACAAGGTATGTTTGCAATATCCGTAGTTGTACCTCTAACCTTGGCAATTCTTTTTCTCTTTTCATGGTCCTCAAAACGTTCAGGTATACATTCTTCTTATCCGGAGTGCAAATTAAAAGTGACAACCCAATATTTGACGCTCTTGCCGTACGGCCACTACGATGAATATAGATTTCAGCTGTTCTTGGGACGTCATAATGTATGACATGATTAACACCAACTATGTCGAGACCTCTTGAAGCTACATCAGTGGCCAGCAATAAACCATGGTCGTTGGCTCGGAATTTGTCTAAATTTTTAAGCCTTTGTTTCTGAATCATATTTGAATGTATAGGTAATGGATTTAATTTTAGAATACTTAAGACACTAGCGAGTCTTTTCACACAACTTATACTATTGCAAAATACTAAACTTCTACCAGGATTTCGTTTCAAAAAGTAATACAAATATCCGTCTTTTTCCTTAACTGAGCAAAATATTTGCATTTCTTTCACTGTACTAGTAACACAATTTACAGTTGTCAAGTTTACAACATGTGGATTTTTCATACCTATTAACTGAATTAAACTTTTCAATTTATCATCCGGTGTTAAATTTTTTTTAACTTTTTTCTTATTTTTAATGTTTATTCTATATGGAGCTTTATGCACCATAGTAAGAGTTGCGGAAAACACAAAATTTTGTCGTTTATTATTTTTTTTTAAATTTATTTTCTCAAGCATAAGATGTAGTTCAGGAAAATGTGCAGTCTCCACCATGCGATCTGCTTCATCAATTACAAAGTACTTGACTTTATTCAACTGCATTAAATGCGGCTCATTTCTCTGTACCATTTCCCAGAGACGTCCCGGAGTAGCTACAACAATTTCTGGACCCTTTTTTAAAATCCTTTCTTGTTTTTCACTTGACAATCCACCAACAATAGCAGCGATACTAATGTCTGTGAATTTAGCCACATCTTCGATGTGGTTTTTAACTTGCATGGCGAGCTCGCGGGTAGGTACAAGTATGACTGCCCATAATTTTTTATTTGTTTTCTCATAACTATCTGGGGGCAAATTGACGACGGCCACACAACCTAGCCCGTTTTCATCGAGTTCTTCTAAGACTTCTGGTTCACTGTCATCTTCCAAATCAGAATCTGAGTCTGACTCTGACTCTGGAGCAGAATCTGAGTCATCTGATACCGAACCCGTAGATCTTCCATTGAGTATGCCGTTTAAAATGGGTATAGCAAAAGCAAGTGTCTTACCACTTCCAGTTTCGGCAGCACCAAGTATGTCTCTTTGATCGTTGATTGCCGGGGGAATCGATTCCGATTGAATCTTCGTAGGTTTTGTGAAGTTTTTCAATTTGAGAGCGTTTAATATTTCTGTCCGGATATTCAGCGAATCCCAATTGTCCATGGCTGTTGGACGAAAACCTAATAAAACAATTAATCGGAAGTGACAATATGTATTCACCAATAACTATATTAACAGTATTTAGAATTTACTTACCAGTTAGTATTTACCCCAATACGTGGTGATTAAAGTATTTAACAGAAATTTGGGAAATTTAATAATATTTGAAATTATAATTATTTAACATTTTGTATTTCACATTTGATTACTTGACTAAATTGATAAATGATAGTAGTTATCTATATTGTATACACGTGCGGACGTGAATATTATTCGAGGTTATGTGCAATTTGCGCCAATTTATAAAAATTCAAAATCGTAGGTTACTACTTTAATACCATATAGACATATTAAGTTAATAGGTATGTCTATGGACTATGGTTACTACTAAAATTCGCCAAAAATGTCCAAACGCCCCCCCTTGGCGGTCTTAATAAGTTAATAACCGGGGCTATGAATTTAATGCACTAAAAAACCTTAAAAATGTCAAAAAAATGCATGAAAATAGGTATGCACTGAAATGCAAAAATGCAATATAAAATGCCAAAAGTTATAAAATACACTTAAAATGGCTTGTGATTTAATTTTTATATATTTTATACTAGCTGATCCCCGCGCCCTTCGTTGCCCTTTAAATGCACCAACTCTATTATGACTCAAAATTCGTTATTTAATATTCGGTGTATGCTGTTCAAAATGTATCTTAACTTTTCTGTTGAACTCAATAAAAATTCTGATTCTCAGCAGTATATTATCATTTATCAGGTAGGCAATCTACCTGCGGTAGATCGAGGACCGCTGATATTTGTAGGTAAGTGTATGATTTATAACTGCAGTAAAGTATTTGATTAAAATAATCAATTAATACAAAATCCTAGCATAACCTATAACCGTACTAAAATAAAAAAAACCAAATTTAACAATTTTTAAATTAGTCAATCTTTTTCCCAGAGGTTTAATCTATACACAAACATTCATTTTTATACTCTTTCGTTAAAAAAAAAATCAAGTAGATAAGTAGTTTCAGAGTTTACTCTGTATATGATTTTCATTTCACATTCATATAGTTAGATTGATAATATAGGATACTAGCTGGTCCTGAGCACTTCGTGGCCCGAAGAAAATGACAACCCTTAAAAAATTGTGATTGTTCAACTCTTTTTGGGTGTAATTCAATGCAGTAAGTGCAACTCATAGTAACTCTGGTAGGCAATGTGCTAAAATTCGATGCTTGAACCTGCAGATCTGCCCTATTAACCAATGGCAACCAATAATTGCAATTGGTATATTGCTATTGAAGTGTAATATTTGATATTAGGAATGCGTAAGTAAAATTGTTTACAACAATATTATACAAATTAAAATTTACAGCGTAATATGTGTAACGGCATAGGTATTTCAGTATAATATGTAATAACATTATTTAATCTCGTTTTTAATGAAAATATTCTCTTTTCCTTTTGATAACGTAAAATATCTTAATCAGATTATTGTAAAAAAATAATTAATTTCACCATAAACGATTTTATTATTTAAAATGTATAGATACGTATATTATAATATAAGTAATTGCTTTAAAACATGTTTAATTGATACACAGTTATTAAAATCGACTTTTATAATAATTATCTGAAATCACATGTTTTTAATGAATGTCTTATTTTAGAATTTGGTATAGCAGGTATATATGTAATCTCGTATAGTCGTATTAAACAAATAAAATATAAATGCTAACAAGTAAATTGTAATATATGTATTTATACATAGTATTTTTTTATCGGGGTATATGCCGTATATTATGGGTTATAGTGTAAACATCATATTATTTAAATATTATCGAGACAAAAATTTTAAAATACCTACTCGAAGTTATATCGTGATGATTATTTTAATTTAATTTAATTTTTTTATCATATTTAATTTATATATGATTGAGTGTATAGTCGTATGGATTTAATATTTAAAGTTCATAATACCTACTTAATATGGTTTACACGTTTTTATTTTTTCTATAAAATATAACATAATATTAAAGTTTAAACACTGTTTTTGGCATTGTATGTTTAACTAAAAGTTATTTTAAAATTCAAGGACGTGTTATAAATTATAATCAATATTGATATGAGCAATAACTAATATTGATTTATATTCTATATTCGGATCTAACTTTAAAATATATATTTGCTACCTTTGTAGTATGTATAATGATGTACCTATTTCAGTGCAAAATCTAATGTTTTGCCTATGTTAATATATTAGTGTACACTGTACCTTCAACTGTCAAAACTTATATACCGTCAAAAAGTGATTTCCTATAGTACAAAAGATAGGTATCAAGTTTGGTTCGGATTAGGATATTACAACTCAAGTCAATAATTATGTAGAAAATGTAAATTAAATATATATATATATTAACACATACGTGGGGATTTAATTGTTCCAACCTAAACCGAAATGTTTTCAAACAATGTTATTTTTCGACATCCAGTATTATATTATTATTTTACCTATGTAGAATACAATTTTGAATTTTTTAAATATTATTTTGTAATAATAAATTTGTATCAGCTATTTGAGTCAATTTGACTATATTAACGTTCAAGCGTTCTACACAATACATAATATTATTATTTACAATTCTTGTATGGTTTTTATAACCGTCCATGTCATATCCGCCAGTGTAATACGTTATTTTATGATTTATTCCGCAGTAATTCGTCGCCTTTAGTACTTGATGGCTTGAATATTTCTTGAAACATATTATAATATCCGTGTAGCGTTTATACTGCAGGTCTACGGCCATTACACTCTGTATAAATCGACCAACGAGTTTTTTTATTTAAAATATATATTTTAACGTTTTTTTAGTCGTTAAATCTGTAAAATTGAACTAAACGAAAAAAAAAGAAACAAAATTTTTTTTGTGTTCACAAAATATGTTTATTATAACAAAAAGGCCGCGAATAAGAAGAAAAAAAAACAGAAATTAAAATGTGTGAACAACTTAACAATTTTGAATTTTGAAATGACTTAAATATAAGAAAAAAAAATACGACAGACAGGATAGACACAATAAACAAGGGGGGAGGATGCGAGATGGCGATTGGTGCAGAAATGCAGTGTTGCTGGCCACTGGTCACCTCTGCACGTTCTCCGACCTGTCCCGCGGGTTGACGAGTGTTGCTGGCGCGTTTGCTCGGACGCTTGACGACCTTGCCCAGCCGGCGAGGCCAGACCGAGACGGCCACGGTTGCGACCACGGTTGACGGCGACGGACGGCGACTAGTGAGCGATGTCGTGCGAGTCGACGGTCGACGGCGTGACGACTCGTGACGACGGACGGCGAAGACCAAGACGTGGAGCCAGCGAAATGAGATTCTGTGCTGCAGATCCGGTGGGGACGATCGAAGCGGCCGATTTGAGATTACCGCTGGGCGAAAAGGCGAGAGCCAGCGGACCACAGCGCGATCCTTGATTTTCGGTACTTTTCGCCCTGGCGTTGTCCCTTCGGCCGCCGCGCGCCTCCAGACTCTGAAACGGTTAAGTTTCTGCGAGTCCGGCATCGCTGACGTCCCCGTGTTCCTAGCACTCGTATCTCCGTACCACTCACCCCGTGCCGAGGTCTCCGCCGGTGCCGTCGTACCGAGTCGCCGCCGCCGTCGTACCGAGTCGGTGTACCGTCGGGTCGGAATCGTTGCCCGCGCCGGTACGTCTACTAGCCGCCGTCCACCGCCGCCATGGCATCACGTGACCGTAACTGCGGTCCGGCGCTCGCCGAGCCGCCAGAGGGTCTCGCGCGTCGTCACTCGTCGACGACCGAGCGCGCGACGCCGGCGAACCCGTCGCGCCGCGGGTGCAGGTCGGAGAACGTGCGCGGGTGACTTACCGCCGCGCACCGTCCGTGCTCTTTCCCGCATCCTCCCCTCCATTCCGTCGCCGTCATCTCCTGTCCGTCGTCTTCGCCCAGGGGGGTCTTCTACTGTGGCGGTCTCGAATTTTTTCATCCGATACATCGTCTTCTGGACACAAAACATCCTCCACTTCTGCTTCAGAAACCTTCGAATTTCCGTCTTCTCTTACTGTGTCGTCGTCGTCGCCGAGCGGTGCTGTCTCTGGGATCGGACCGAGCTCCGACTCTGCAGCAGACGACAGCGCGTCGCCGCTCGGCACTCCGCCACAGTGCGACGGTGTTGTAAGACGGAGCAACACATGCGGCCGCGGGTATCACGTCCTCTGAATGTTAAATTTCTTTGTGTGTATTATTCTCTTTCTGTTAAACTAACCTTGTTGTTATGATTATTTAAATTGTTATAAGTACAGTGTAAGACAGTACCAAGTGGATGATATAGTTTTAGCGTTTTAATGTTTTTTGGAAGTAGTTTATTTAGCATTTCATTGAACATTTCATAATCACGCTATATAATTTTAATTCAAAACTATGTTGCCTACCTACCAATAATAATAAATTATGGTTTGAAATTCATTGAGTTATCGGCTATAACAGTTACTTTTATCACGAATTCCACTGATGCAGTGTGCTCAGTGTGGATGTGTGTACACAAGACACCTCTAAGTATTATAATGTTGACCCACCTCTAGCACATGTTATAGGTGATACATCATATTATTTACCCTTGTACCCTTGTAATATTGTATTTGTACATTATATTTTACACTAAATAAGGTAAATCTATAGTACACCTACTTACCAATAACAGTCATATGATTTAATTAAGTATTATGAATAAAATATGTTTTGTTTCAGGGCAAGGAGTGCTTGAAGGGGATAGTGGTGCAGAGTGCAGACTTAAGCTTTTTACACTCGAATTTTTATTATTTAACCGGATTAGCGAGTGTCAAGGATACATTTACAAATAATTCAATCTCCGCTTTTACAGAAGTTAAGCGCCATATTCATTGGATTCGACTGTATAAAAACATAATTAATTAAAAATATACTACAAACTATAATATAATATATTGTGCACTATTAAAATAATGTA